CACGCTAATCTTTTCCGTCCGTTTGTCCAGAAACATTCAAACCAAGAATTACAGTGAAAATGTGCATGTGAATAATTATTGGTCTCCTAATCTGTTGGAGATGGTTCCCAGCTTCACCTAATGTCCACTGGGAGTTTCCTGATGACCAATTTGTTTTCATGTTTGAATGAGGCTGCAGCTGCAGCAGCCTTTTTATTCTGTGTTAACAAGAGGTGAATCCTGTTTTCCGGTTAACACAGACAGCAAATGCAGTTTGAAATGTGGTGAGAAGAACTGTCAGAGTTGATTAGAGTTTTTTTTTTCTTTCTTGTATGCAGTGAATGTGATCATTTGTAGGCACACATTTTAGTCTGTCTATTTAGAAAATACCCCTGGAAGCTGAGGACCATGCTGGTGGTGATGGTGTGCCACGCAGAATTGAGCCTACAGGGCTATGATTACTCCCCAGACTCAGCCCCTCACATCGACTACCACGCCTGAGAGATTGCTAAAGAAAGACTGTTGCAATGGACCTGTCAATGACACCCAGGGGGATTTTCTGGTGTCTGATTGCTGCCGCGCGGCTGCTGTTTACAGTCGACGGGTGGAAAATCACTGAAAAGCAAACACACGACCCTGAGACTTTTATATTCATGAATGTGTGGAATGCAGTGGTCGTTGTTAATATTTCAAAAGCAGATAAGAGTAAATGTTAGGCTGTGATGATTGTATGTTTGTCTTCACTGCTGACACAAATTGGGGGTTTCAGATTTCCATATATTTTGCAGCCTGGTGACAAATTGGCCCAGAGCTACAGCCTGACAGACGAAAGAGCGCCTCTTAGTGTTTGACAGGAAATAGAAAAATAATGATAAGCCAACGTTTATGCTCAGAAAACAGGGATTTATGTTCACAAGGCTTTGACTGAGCCGGTAGACTAATCAGCATTCAATGTAGGCCGTGCATGTAATTAATGATTAGCATTTAGGATGCAGTATAAGCAGCTTTTTACACCAGCTGATGTGATTCTATGAATGATTTAGATGAAGTCAAATGAAAACAAATGAAAACAAGGATTAAGTTGTGTTAGATCAGGGGTGTCAAACATACGGCCGGGGGTTCAATCTGGCCCACGTGATGAATTTTGAAAGTAAAAAAAAGGATACTTCATGTTCATGATAGGTTTGCTAAAATTGTATTTTATTAAATATGAAGATTGTCTGATATACTTGTACCTATGTGCATGAAAACAAAGGGGAAACATGTACTTATTGTTTTTTATAAATAATTATGTTATGATTGTACTATAATAAATGTGGTTTAGATGACATTGGTGTTTGTGTGAGAATAGAGAGAATTAAAAAGCAAAGATAAATTCTGAAAAAAGAAGTTGGTAGAAAAATGTCAAACATATTCTCTGACCTGATATGTACCTCTCACCCTTGTTTCAATAAAAAGCCATACGGGACGTGTGAAGTGCACAGATGAGATCGCATGCATGTCCATGTGTTTTAGGGGTGGAGGCTGAAGAACGTCCTCCTGCCTCCAGCGTAACAATTCACCATTTCTGTTTCATGTCAGTGGGCTAAGCATGTACGGAGCAAACCGCCTGGGTAAACAGGATGAATCTTACTGCTGATGTCAAATTGACACAAACAGCTGGATATAACCCGGATGTGGAGCAGAGGATTGAGTGTGAGTCATGGATGATTCATGTCTGACCGTGTCAGCGCTGTCGCTTCAACACTGTTACATTTAGATAAGGTGAATTTCAACAGGAAAACTCCAAAATATTATATATATATATATATATATATACATATATATATATATATATATATATAAATAATATAATATATATAGTATATAATACAACTGGTATTCATTACACCCACCACAGTTGTACTGAGCAGGGTCTAAAACCTCTGGTGAGTCAGGGTCTCTGCAGGAGATTCACATGCTTCAGCACATCTGTGGTTAATCAGTCTCTGCAGCCCAGCACTTTGGCCACAGTTAAGACCTTTCTGTATGTACACGTGTTCCTGCACATGCATGTGGTGGCCCGTGATGGATGGCTACCCAGGGGGAGGTGATAGCACAATAATTACACTGTCAGCCTCAGTTGACCTATTGATAGCAGGCTGTGTCTACACGGAGGAGTGTTCAAATTAACCTAACATTTCTTTCCTGCTCACTTCTTTTAATAAGTGCTTTTCATAATGCACGAATGTGTGACTTGGAAATTAGCAAAAGTGGAGTTAAAATATAAGAATACATCTGGACCTGACAGGGTGTGATAACAAGGCTGAGACAAAGGCTGTGGCTGCAGACGTGGTGTGAACAGTGACTTAGGTTACTTGCATGTCTATGTGAACCATTGGTTTCCACCCTTTTTTGGCATGTGACCCCCATTGTTACATCACACATTTCTGGTGAAACCTCAGAGACATTTGAGAAGCAGTCAATGTTTCAGTCACGTGATCACAGCCGTAAATCAAGAATCGCCGGCCTCATTTTTATAAGCTCCATTTTATTATTTATTATTACTCATTAAAGTGGAAGAATGCAATTGTGTTTGATGTTTTTAATCACAGTTGTATGAAGGATGGTGATTAGTTGAAAATTACTTTTATCAATATTTTTTGTACTAAAGAAGTACTAAACATTTCGGCCGATGCAATTGTTGGGTTGTTACCCCAAGGTTGAAAAACACTTTGTAAAAAGAAAGAAAGAAAGAGAGAAAGAAAGAAGGAAAAAAAGAAAGAAAGAAAGAAAAAAAGAAAGAAAGAAAGAGAGAAAGAAAGAAGGAAAAAAAGAAAGAAAGAAAATAAGAAAAACAAGGACAAAAAATAAAAAATATATATAAGGAAAGTAAAAAGAAAGAAAGAAAGAAAGAAAGTGGACAAGGAAAATCATGGAAAAGTTTGGATTGACAGTGGGAGGTTAAACTGGCTCAGAACTATAGTTCATCCTTGAAGATTATAATGGGATTATTGCTTTAGCACCAATGTCAGCTTGTTTACTATGTCCTTAATGTGAGCGTGTAGAAGAATCATTTTGGTAATGTGACTTTAATTATGCAACAGATGTCTCCGGTTCTTAGCCATGATTGTCTGTGTGAAAGTCTCATCAGTTTTCAGCGAACTACTTATTATACCGCAGTGGTTTTCCTTAAGGGCTCTCTGACTCTCAATCTGTGTGTCATTACATTCTGTGAATCAAAATGCAGACACAGACGAACCTATGGTTCTTCAGTCCAAGGTCAGGAAACATTATTAAAAAAAAACTCTCTTTTTTATCTTGCATCTGCAAAAATCTTCCTATGTGTAAAGCATGATTCGCTGCTACGCGCTGTCAATTAAATGAGACATTGGTGAGGACTAACTATTTTGAAAATTGTATAGTATAGTTGAGTATAATATAGTTGTATAGTCAGATCTGCTCTTGATAGTGGCGACCAGGGTTTTGTTAAAAAAAAAAAAAACACTCATTCTCACAGGCTGTAAATGTTTCTTCACAGCATTCAGAGCTAAAGGACACCAGACGCAGAGGAACTGTTCCCTTAGCTCCTCTCTCCTCTACTCTGGAGTTTTGTAAAACAGATTTTGTCAGACTTTGTCTTTAGACCAAACCAGCAGAAAATGAGAAAATGAATTAAATGAACCTCAGGAGGCACTGTGGGACATGTGGAGGAAATCAGGCATCTTCTGTTGTTGAATGTTGTTAAACTGTAAGAGCTGTGCTGTACAGTATGCTGTGTGTGTGTTTGTGGTGATGTCCACAAAAACCCAGTTTATTCTGACAACTCAGTGCAAGACATGCATGGCTGCAGCACGTGGCTGTTAAACGGCATGTCATGTCTCCTGATGTCTGCATCCTCATGGCTGTGTGTTCATGTGTGTGTGAATGTGCAGCCTCGAAGAGGCCTAGAGGGGGAATTAATTCCAGGACATGCACTGTGGAAGCCACATCAACTCCCACCTGCTGCCTAGCGGCCTTCTTGCAGAAACCCATATGTTTTAGTTAAAGAATTTGAGTCCAATGCTCTGAGAAGGCTGAGAAAAGAACAGGGAAACACAGAATGAACGGAAAATACTCCATGTCCTGATTTGTGTCCTGACACTGAAACCCAAACTGATGTGCTGCAGTCGGATTTGTCCATAATATGATATTGAACGTTATGTACAGCGGAAATAAACTGTGGAAGTAAACACTGGGTGTTCAGAATTCAGGATGTACATGCAGGAGATGTACTTTATACAGTACTTTGACTACTGTGTATATATGAGCAATTTACACAGGACTGGGACAATAGCTGTAGACTTGGACTTTCTTTGGTATATTAACAGTATCTTTCAGATTTACGCTCAACAGAAGGAAATTCCATTGCTTTAGCACAGGTTAGCAGCAGGCTTTGTTAAAAAAAAGAGAAAAAAACCCCCAAAATAATAAACTTACAACATGAATTGAAGGAACTAAGATTTTCAGTGTTCAGCAACACAATGGAACCACAATATGATTTTTTGCTGTCTGTGATAACAGTTGTGTATACTGTAGGTGCAATGTGTGAAAATATATGTTTTTACCTTTAGTTTCATTTCGGTTTAAAAACTCTTCCCCTGGTTCTCAGTGACTACACCTGTCTGAACACAGGGTTTTCCAAAAGGGCTTTTGTTTTATGGCTTGATCAGAGATGGAGGCCTGAGAGAAACATATTTCCAGCAGAAAGAAACGCTTGTGGATTCTCAACATGAAACCTTTACTCATCACCTGTTCCCTGCACTATCAGAGGAGGAAATTAGATCAAATAAAGGATTTCCATCTGGACTCGAACCTGAATGATGCCCTCAGCTTAGATTTCTGCTTTAGCAAAACTATGGTCATCATTTATGCATTAAATGAGTAATAGACTAATGTTGAGTTCCGAAGAGAAGAAATGTCCCTAAGATGCAGGAATCTGGAATATAAAAACAAAGCTTTGCAGTAGAATGCTGCAGTAAACAGCAGCCAGTTTAACTCACTTGTTTTGGTGCTTTGAGCCCTGCAGATGTGCGTGATACTGTGCCACAGAGTTCAGCGTGACGCTGCACACTTCACAGGTGTAGCTCCGCTTCAGACCTGCAAGCAAATAAAAAATAAAAAATAAATCAATAAAAAATCCCATAAGAGCTTGGAGCAGCTTGAACTCAGCTTGAATTTTTTTGTAGCTTAGCTGTTTTGTGTGTGTTAGAGTTTGACACAGGCTGCTGGTGGTAATGGAGTGAGGAAAAAGCATTCAGAGCCGCAGCTCAATCAGAAGAATTTCAATTCCACTGATAAACATTTCACGGCTCCACCTGCACGCCAGCATACACTGGGTTCGCTAAGTTCAACAAAAGACAAATGGAAACTTTTCCTTTTGACTCTGGTTTTGGTTCAATTCCACAGACTGACCCTAAAAAAGAATGAGGAAGTAAACGCAGAATGAAAGAAAACAAACTGGTTTGTTTAAAAACAATCACATTTGTTGCATTAACTGGTTTGTATATGATCAGTTCCAAAAGGATGCTGTACATTCTGTGAAAGAGCAACTGTAGTATATTTTCTCTACTGCATTCATCATCAGTTTGCAGGGAATTAGCCATTGATGTAAATGTTTCACTGCACGTTTGCGTTCACACTTCAAAGAAATGCACACTTACTCCCCAACCGATGCACATTAACTAATCCACCTCCAGATGGGGGATTAAATTCTAAATAAATTCATTTATCCTGCATTACTTTCACCAATATGAGAAAGTTTCTTTAGTGCAGCTGATGTACTCTCTCCACTTCTTTTTAAAATCTCGATCAGTGATATGTCACACATGTTGCTTTCATCGTTATCCATATTGGAAGAATGAAAAATTCCCAAATATCTCGTTAATACTACACGATCGACTCCAGAGTCAGAACATGTTCCCTTTACTGCCGTTCAAAACAATGCTTGTTACAGTGTGGCGGATTTGTCATGATTAGCTGAGAAGCAACGCTCATTATTTTAAAACCTGAACAGCATCAAATAAATCCACACATCAGTGATTTATTTCTCATCACGGAAATGTAATAACACTCATTTGTTATACAATTTAAATATGTTTTGAATCAGCGGCCTCTTCACCCCTGTACAGTCACTGAGTCTGAAGCTTGTTGCTGTGACGTGTGAGCAGCCGTCTTGATCACTGTCATGATGATAGAATCTAATTGTAGGATGAATAACAGTCATCTTGATTGCCATGCTCTCAAAAATTAAGTTATAGCCCTCCATAAATAAGCCTGGGAGCAAAAGGCCAAGACAGTATAAATGTCAGCCTGTAGTCATTGAATCATATTTCCATTTTCTCCTCAATTTGAATTCCTCCTGCTGGTGCTAACAGCATTTATTCTAAATCATCGCTCCAGAAAAGTGTTTCATTTTTACATCTTGTTGCAAGTGATTTTTAATATTTGCAATTCGCCAAAAAACTTGCCCCTGAGATGATGATGTCAGCTGTTTCTGGCAGGTGAAATGCACTTTACTTTTCTCCCCATCATATGTGCAATAACGGCCCTGTCAGTCGAGTGCCGCCACGACTGAGATTTCAATTTTGCCCAGCCGTCCCCTGACGCCACGTCATGAGCTGACACTAAAGTTCTGTAGCGGGACACTGGAGGTTCTGCTCTGCAGTTGGCCCGGTGACAGCTCGCTTCTCAAACGCTTTGTGAAAGGGTGAAAGATTCTGGTATCCATCACTGCCACAGTCACCTGCAGCTCCTCAGTCCCAGCGCTGCCCTGTGTGAGAAATGAAGCACCAGGGGCCTCTGAGCCTCTGCAGCTCCTTCTCCTCCATCACAGTTACTTCCTACATTCTGACGAATTGCTGGTAAAATGTCCAGGACCCATTTGTTTTGCTTAACTTGGCCCCTCAGGTGAGAAGCTCAGGAGGAGATGGAGGAAAACATTCTCACTGCAGTCTCATCTGTTCTAGTGCTGGGTATAACTGTAAATCCATATAGGCAGGATGTGAAGCTGGAGTCAAGTTACTGTCATAGAGATGACCTTGAAAAATACAATTACAAACTAAAGAGCTCTGAGGCAGTACAACCATTACTCAGATCCAATTATCACACAGACACACTGACCCACTGTCCAATTTTCCCACACTATCATTATACATGTCTTGTGCGTAGGCTACATAGAAAAGATAAGATTTATCTTTTTAAAGTCACGCTACTAATCATGATTTCAAAACTCTTAAGTGGTTCCATAGTATAGCAGTAGGTCCTGGTTTGAGAGGAACCAATATCCCTAGTGGCTTCTCCCATGTGGCAACCTGTGAGTTGCAACCATTTACTTAATGGTTGCAACTATTTTTCTTCCACTTGATGCACATACAGTCCTTAATTGTAGTCTATTACAAATGTAAAATATGAATTAATAAGATATTTTTATATCTGAGGCAAAGTGAATTCAGGCTCAGCCTCAAGAACAGAGTATGAGGGCATTGGGAGCTTTGATGTTTTGCTCTGCACCGCCTATGTTTTCTTTTGTGCCACTCCAGAGAGGTATTACTGAAAATTCTTGTTTGGTAAAACACAATATACTTTCTAAAGACCTGCAAAATATGTATGGCATTTGTGACAAAGAGCTGACTTGACTTGACTGGAAAATGTAGCACATTTTGCTTCACTATGCATGACGTTGACTTGCTGCTTGTGGATCTAGAGCTTTGTCTGGTGCTCATATATTTTCTTCCTTTTCATTCTTTCAACCCAGGATTGTTTTACACTACAGCAGATTCTCAATGGTTGTCGAGTTAATTCATTTCATTTGTCCTGCAGTAAATCTCTGTTGTCTCACAGCTAATTGAGACCCATTGCCTGAGCCACTGGGAGGAAACCGGGTGGCAGTGTGACTGATCAGTCCTCCGTGTGGTCTGTTTATGTGCAGGGAAAAAGGTTGGTGTGGGTCTAAGGTTTACGCTAAATTAACTAGCAGCCATCTGCTTCACTCAGATGGTGCAAGTTTAGCTCCTTCTCTCCCTGACTGTGGCAGGGCAGCAGAGCTTCACGCGGCATATGCTCCATCTGAACTCGGTTGAAATCAATTGTTCAAACTGTGAAGAAAAGAATAAAACCATATTTCAAAAGTTTCAACGTCAGATTTGGGAAATGCACAGTAAGTGCTTATTTAAGCAGACACAAGTCGGGACAAACATCTGAACCTCCAACCTCGTGTTTTAATACAGATACACAGTTGGTCAGAACGCTGACGGTTGCCACAATTATGGATTTATTTCACTGTTGATGATAGAAAAAAACATGAGGCCAAAGCAGAAGCTGTAGAGGAGAATGTTAATATGCTGGTATATATGTATAATATATGGTATAATATAGGCTATATATAATTTATATGGCCAAGATTTGTCATGTGTTTTATTTGGTTAAAAAAAATCACACAAAGTTTTGGAAAAAATTTCCAAAAAAGTATTGGTGTCATATCAAATAAAAAAATCTGGTAATGTCTATAACATCACTACTGACAGCAGATTCAATACTTGACTTCGTCGTCTACGTCTCTTCTTTGTGTGAATGGATGTGAACACACAAACATCAAGATGAAGCAGTTTCACTGCACTTGACAGGAAACAGCTGCATGACCGATCACCAGGGGCACTGTCAGGTTGTCTGCTCTAAAATCCCACTCTTCTGGGGCATTTTTTAAAATTGAAGGCAGCAGATGAAATGCAGACATGAACTAAAATGTGAGTGAATGTGAAGTGTAAAAATAATCAACACTAACCATTTGGTTCAAGTGGAGGTTTTTAAGCTCATTCTTTGGCCGATACAATAGGTTTATACAAAGAAATCAAAGAAATTAGCCATAAAATGTGCAAAAACAGATTCAATTTGAAATAGAATATCTGAAAGGCAACTAATGAGATTATGGTCTGCTTCTATTTCAGTCAATTACACTTTAGGAAGGGGGCACTTCATTGTTATTTTGCAGCTTGATAACTGAAACAGCATTTGAGACAAAACTGAGATACCAAAGGCATAAAATTAACCAATGATAAAACATTAAGAAAATTAGAATAAAATGGGAAAAAACACAGACTTGGATATACTCTAGAGATAAAGCCTTTAGCAGAAATACCCAGAAGTTAGCAAAGAAGAAAGAAAAATGATCACGTCCATGTTGATGAATTTTAACCAAATGCCCCAGAGGCAATTTAAACCTCTCATATTATGATATTTCCAATTTAAAAACATTTTCATGTCTCCAAGTGCCAATTAGTAATTAGAAATGATTTAAGATTCTGGTTGTTCAGTATTATATTGTACGGCATAATAATTGCCACAGAAGGAAAGACTTTTTTTCCTGTCTGAGTTACTGGTATGTTGGACATTTTAGAAAAAAATGTATAAAAAATGAATTGATGTTGTAGTGAAATATGTGCCTAAAAGTAAAACTCATCTTCTAAGTGTACATTTCAAGAACTTTTAATTATTTTTATCATCCACAAACACTAAATCAATCTGACGTGACACAGCTCATCACTGCGGCACTGATAAACTCAGTCAACTCATTCTGTGTATTCTGTAGTTTCTCTAGTTCTCTAGTTCTGTAGTTTTATGACACAGATGCGTTGGACAACACAGACTTTTTATGAGGAGAATAAAAGAGAGGCAGACTGAATCTACTGCTAGTGTGTTCTACAAACTGAAACTGCTTTTTCTGGGAACAAGTGGTGACTCAAACATTAGTTATATGTAGGAACGGGCTGCGTAAATGTAACATAAAGCAGTATGTATTTTTATAGCACAGTATAAAGGCTAATTAGACAGCATTAGTCAGTCTTTTCAGTCTGAAATCACAGCCATGTTTTTTAATCTTGCAGATGCTTTTAGCAGCCTTTTTCATTCAGAGGTATGTTTAGCACAAACTCACAACTTATTTACCCAGCAGCCTGTGCTATCCACTGGACCTGAACTGCCCTGCACCCTTTTGCTTACAGACCACTAAATGGTCACAAACTACACACAAATGTGACCTTCATGCCATGAATGGTGACACAGATTATAACTTAAAACTACAAACAAGTAGGCCAAAAAGGTTG